CACCCCCAATGAGAATACATGTGTAGCTCTCAGTGCCCCGGTCTGGGATGGTGTCCGGCTGGCGCGTCTCCAGGCGTTCTGCACCCCCGGGGAAAGGCCCCGTTCAGCCGGAGGAAGGGCCGAGAGGGAGGTCCCGAGGGGCCGGGAGCCCCCTTTGGAAGCCGGAGACGGTTCCTGCTGCGAGGAAGGGACCACGGGACAGACCGGCCCCCGGCTAGGACCCTCGGCCCACGGCTTCCAGCGTGCCAGAGCAAAGGACGCACATGGGACCTTCCAGGGCGAAGGGAAAGCCACAAACGTTTTATTCATGGGCCGGGCTCTGGAAAATGAGTTTTACTCACAGTCGAGGGGTCTATAGGGCCTCCCTCCCCCCGATTCCCTGGGAGCTGGGCGCTTGTGTGGCCTCTCAGGAGAGATATCAGATGACGGGAAGAGCTGCGCACCACTTGGTTTGTGGTGGTGCACATGCCTCAGCGCACTGAAAAAAATTATTCTGCACATGGGTGGTAAAAATCCACACACAAGAGGAAAAAATTAGAGCGTGCCTTGTCTCTCCGTGCACTTTCTGCTGGACAAGGAGGTGGGAACTCCAATTGAAGCTTCGCCCACATTTGGGGCACGTATAGGGTCTCTCTTCTACCAGGGTTCCCTGTGAGCTGGGGGCTTGTGCCGCCACTCAGGCCACCAGCTGATTGGCAAAGCTGGCCACCACTCGGTTTGTGGTGGTGCACATGCCTCGGCACGCTGAAAAAAATTATTCCGCACATGGGTGGCAAAAGTCCATCCCCAGTCGGAAAAGACGCGAGAGCGCCTTGTCTCTCCCATGCACTTTCTGGTGGACAAGGAGGTGTGAACTCCGACCGAAGCTTTGCCCACATTCGGGTCACGCATAGGGTCTCTCCCACCCGGCCTTAGAGCCAGAGATCGATGGTTCGAGTCCCACCCTCACCCAACATGCACCTGGCACCCAGCTGATTAGCAGAGCTGCCCACCACTCAGCTGGTGGTGGTGCACATTTGCATGTGCCGTGGTGCACAACAAATTATTCCGCACACGGGTGGCAAAAATCCGCCCCCGGCCGGAAGAGACTCGAGAGCGCCTCGTCTCTCCCGTGCACTTTCTGGTGGACAAGGAGGTGCGAACTCCGGCCGAAGCTTCGCCCGCATTCGGGGCACGTATAGGGTCTCTCCCCCATGTGGACTCTCTGATGAGCACTGAGGTTGGAGGGGCCGCTGAAGCTCCTCCCACAAAGGACGCATCTATAGGGCCTCTGTCCCGTATGGACGTTCAGGTGGGCCAGGAGGTGGGAGCTGCAGCTGAAGCTTTTCCCACAGTCGAGACATCTGTAGGGTTTCTCCCCCGTGTGGACGCGCCGATGGGCCACGAGGTGCGAGCTGCAGCTAAAGCTTGTCCCGCAGTCCTGGCACCGATAGGGCCTCTCCCCGGTGTGGACCCGCCGGTGCGTCAGGAGGTGGGAGCCGCAACTGAAGCGTTTCCCGCACTCGGCGCACCGGTAGGGCCGCTCCCCCGTGTGCACGCTCTGGTGGGCCAGGAGGTTGGAGCTGCGGCTGAAGGTTTTCCCGCACTCGGCGCACCGGTAGGGCCGCTCCCCGGTGTGCAGGCTCTGGTGCGCCAGGAGGTTGGAAGCGCGGCTGAAGCGTTTCCCGCACTCGGCGCACCGGTAGGGCCGCTCCCCCGTGTGCACGCTCTGGTGGGCCAGGAGGTTGGCGCTGCGGCGGAAGCCTTTCCCGCACACCGGGCACGGGTAGATTTTCTCTCCCTGGCATGCTCGCCGATGAGCAGTCCGGCGTGGAGGCCCGCGGGAATTTTGCCCGCCTCCGGCACCGGCCGACGGTTTCGCTTCGGGGCAGATCCTCGGGGGGGTCACCGTTCCAGCTCCATCTCGGAGAGGGGATGTCTTCCCTCCTTCCCCTAGCTGGTCTCCCTGCAGTCTCTCTGGCCTGGGCTGACCCTCCTGCCCCGGATGCTGGGGAACACCCGTTTCGCCTCTTCCCAGACAGGTCCCCTGTGGGTCTACTCCCTCGGGACCTGCCTGTTCAAGGACCGTCTCCTTGTCCTCACCCACCAGCCCATCACCTGCTGAGGGAGAAAATAAGAACATCAGAACGGCCAGGCTGGGTCAGACCAAAGGTCCATCCAGGCTAGTATCCGGTGGCCAACGCCAAGTGCCCCAGAGGGAGGGAACACAACAGGGAATCCTCCCCCGTTGCTCACCTCCAGAGAAACGGAGGCTACAGACACCATTCCTACCCATCCTGGCTCATAGCCATTGCTGGACCTACCCTGCATGAATGGATCTAGCTCTTGTTTGAACCCTGTTCAAATCCTGGCCTTCACAACATCCCCTGGCGAGGAGTTCCACAGGTTGGCTGTGCACTGCATGAAGAAAAATGTCTTCTTTTTTTTAACCTGCTGCCTATTCATTTCCTTGGGTGACCTCTCTTTCTTATGCTATGGGAATAAGTCAATAGCTTTTCCTTATTCACTTTTTTCACCCCCCCTCAAGATTTTATAAACCTCTACCTTATCAGCACTCATAGAACCATAGAGCTGGAAGAGACCTCAGAAGGTCGTCAAGTCCAGCCCCCTGCTCTAGGCAGGACCAATCCCAACTAAATCAACCCAGCCAGGGCTTTGTCAAGCCGAGACAGTCAAGTCTGTATTCTGACAGAGATGAGAGACACCCTCCCGACCCATCCTGGCTCATAGCCATTGCTGGAGCTAACCTCCATGAATGTATCTCGCTCTTGTTTGAACCCTGTTAAAGTCCTGGTCTTCACCGCATCCTCTGGCGAGGAGTTCCACAGGTTGGCTGTGCGCTGAGTGAAGAAATACTGCCTTTGGTTTGTTTTAAGCCTGCTGCCTCTTCATTTCTGCCAACCAGGTGCCCCAGAAAGAGGGAACCTTCTGCCTATTCATGTCATTAGGTGACCCCAAGTGCTTATTTTGTGGGAACAAGTCACTCACTTTTCCTTAGCCACTTTTTCCACCCTATCCAGAATTTTATAGCCCTCTGTCCTATCCGCACTCAAGTCCTTATTCTAACAGAAACTAGGGACATTATTCCTATCGATCCTGGCTAACAGCCATTGATGGACCTAACCTACAAGAATCTATCTCGGTCTTGTCTGAACTCTGTTAAAATCCTGGTTTTCACAACATCCCCTGGCGAGGAGTTCCACAGGTTGACTATGCACTGCATGAAGAAAAATTTCCTTTGTTTTTTTTTGTTTGTTTAAACCTGCTATGTATTCATTCCATTTGGTGACCCTTCATTTTTATGTGATGGGAACAAGTCAATCACTTTTCCTTATCCACTTTCTCCGCACCAGTCATGATTTTATAAACTTCAATCCTATCCCCCCATCCTCCTTAGTCCGTATTCTGGCAAACAGAGGCTAGGGACGCCCTCCCGACCCATCCCGGCTAATAGCCACGGATGAACCTAACCTCCATGAATCTATCCAGCTCTTTTTTGGACCCTGTTAAAGTCCTAGCCTTCACCGCGTCCTCTGGCGAGGAGTTCCACAGATTAACCTGAAAAGTCTCAGGATTATTGATCTGTCCTCATATGGCAGCCATTCCAGACATAAGTCCTTCCCCGAGCCAGGGAGAAGGGGGAACCTCCGGAAGGGGCCAGGCTAAGGGGTGGAATCTAGTAAGAGCGGGGGACAATTCTGAGCAGGCTGGGGTGAGGCAGAAAGCCGGGAGCTTGTAGGCTCTTGGGGGGAATCCCAGCTGTTTGGGCTAATGACGAGTGGAGTGCGAATCCACTAATTCCCCACCCGGGGTTCCGGTTTCTCGGGAGCTCCCGTTCCGCACAGCCCCACCCTTCTTCCCCCTTCTCCGGCTGGAAGCTCGCCTGGGGCGGGGGAACAGGACGGCCTGCTCCGGGGAGGGAAGCGAGAGAAAACCAGGGTCTTGCAGTTCTGCAGAGACACAGCTGTTGCCAGATGTGCTGGGTGGGAAAAAGGCCTTGTCTGCAGCCAACAGCCGGGGAAATGGGCCAAGAGACCTTTTGCGGAGACCTGCTGCAGTTTCCTTTTGCAGACAATTCAGGGAAGGATTTTTCGACTCTACTTCCAATCCACCTCTTCCCCCCTTTTTAAGCCTGCCCGTCCCAGGCACAGAAGGGCAGGACCCACAAAATCCCCGGGGGAGGGGGGAGGAGCCAGCATTTCATACGACAGGAGGAACATACCCCCATGCTCTGCCTTGGACAGGGAGAGGCTAGCATCTCTGCTCATTCGTCTCTGGAAGGGGTATGGAGGTGACAGGCTCTTTCTGGAGCTCTAGGGATTATGGGCCTTGGCCGCCCCCTTACAACTAGAGGAAGAACGCTGGGTGCAAACCGATTTCGGGTTGATCAGCAACCTCCTCCGGTTTCGAATACCCGAGGGAGCGGGGTTGCTTACCCAGCGAGGTCACCGTCTCGTAGTTCTCCCGCATGACAGCCCGGTAGAGGTGTCTCTGCGCGGGGTCCAGCAGCGCCCATTCCTCTTCGGTGAAATACACGGCCACCTCCTCGAAGGTCACCGCCCCCTGAAAGAGCCAGAGCCCCCCACTCAGCACCTGCACGCTCAGCCACGATCCCCTCCCCCGAGTTCGGTGATGGGGAGTAGCCCCCACATTGGCCCGGCCCAATCTGCTAATTGGGGTGCAAAAGGGGAGCTTTGGGCCGCGGATGAGAAAGAGGCAGGGACAGGCTGCAGGAGGGCCGGCTGCTCTCCCTGGGACCAGGAGCCAGCAGTGCAGCCCGACTTGAGGAAAGGGGGGCCCAGAACCAGGGTCCTGCTCCCCCATCTCTGCCCCCCAATCCAGGGAGACTCACTCCCACACCCAGCCTGTGTCACCCAGTCACCCTCCCCTCCCAGGCTCAGGAGACTGGGTGCTCGGGCCTCTGTGAACGTGCCGGCCTGAGAGAGTCACCCCCAGAACGCCCACCCCCACCTAGAGTGTGGTGCAGCGCCCAGGGGGCTGTTGAAACCCGGTGCCACCGAACGGAATGCATACAAACCCCCGCTTTGTCGCACCAGTAATGCAGCGCCCAGGGAAACTGAGGCACACACACGCGCGCGGGATTACCCCGAGGCCGTCAAAACCTGGTGCCACCGACCGGCACATATACAACCCCCCCCCCCACTTCATCACATCAGTAATGCAGTGGCCCAGGGAAACTGAGGCACACATGCACGGTTACCACAGGGCCGTCGAAACCCCGTGCCACTGAATGGTGCGCAGACAACCCCCCCGCTTCGTCACAGAGGACGCTTGGCTCGGCAAACCCAGCGAGGGGGGGATCCAGGGAGGGTGGCGAGGCTGAGCGGGAAAGCAGCCTGGGTTCAAACCAGCTGGGGCTGCCGAAAACTGAGGCAAGGTGGGCTGCTGTAGGAGGAATCATTACGGGGCCCCCGGAGCCAGGATCTGGAAGAGAGGGTGGGCCTGAGACCCCCCCCCAGACCCTGTGGAAGTACCCTCTCCACACAAGCGGTGACTTTCTGGGGGTTCAACGCAAGGATACATTACCCAGGGGGATTGTGGCCTCTCCTCCAGCTCTCCTGTAGTTTGCAAAGTTTGGGGGTGCAATAGAAAGTCCCCCTTACAGTTGGGAATCCCCCTCTCCACACAAGCGGTGACTTTCTGGGGGTTCAACGCAAGGATACATTACCCAGGGGGATTGTGGCCTCTCCTCCAGCTCTCCTGTAGTTTGCAAAGTTTGGGGGTGCAATAGAAAGTCCCCCTTACAGTTGGGAATCCCCCTCTCCACACAAGCGGTGACTTTCTGGGGGTTCAACGCAAGGATACATTACCCAGGGGGATTGTGGCCTCTCCTCCAGCTCTCCTGTAGTTTGCAAAGTTTGGGGGTGCAATAGAAAGTCCCCCTTACAGTTGGGAATCCCCCTCTCCACACAAGCGGTGACTTTCTGGGGGTTCAACGCAAGGATACATTACCCAGGGGGATTGTGGCCTCTCCTCCAGCTCTCCTGTAGTTTGCAAAGTTTGGGGGTGCAATAGAAAGTCCCCCTTACAGTTGGGAATCCCCCTCTCCACACAAGCGGTGACTTTCTGGGGGTTCAACGCAAGGATACATTACCCAGGGGGATTGTGGCCTCTCCTCCAGCTCTCCTGTAGTTTGCAAAGTTTGGGGGTGCAATAGAAAGTCCCCCTTACAGTTGGGAATCCCCCTCTCCACACAAGCGGTGACTTTCTGGGGGTTCAACGCAAGGATACATTACCCAGGGGGATTGTGGCCTCTCCTCCAGCTCTCCTGTAGTTTGCAAAGTTTGGGGGTGCAATAGAAAGTCCCCCTTACAGTTGGGAATCCCCCTCTCCACACAAGCGGTGACTTTCTGGGGGTTCAACGCAAGGATACATTACCCAGGGGGATTGTGGCCTCTCCTCCAGCTCTCCTGTAGTTTGCAAAGTTTGGGGGTGCAATAGAAAGTCCCCCTTACAGTTGGGAATCCCCCTCTCCACACAAGCGGTGACTTTCTGGGGGTTCAACGCAAGGATACATTACCCAGGGGGATTGTGGCCTCTCCTCCAGCTCTCCTGTAGTTTGCAAAGTTTGGGGGTGCAATAGAAAGTCCCCCTTACAGTTGGGAATCCCCCTCTCCACACAAGCGGTGACTTTCTGGGGGTTCAACGCAAGGATACATTACCCAGGGGGATTGTGGCCTCTCCTCCAGCTCTCCTGTAGTTTGCAAAGTTTGGGGGTGCAATAGAAAGTCCCCCTTACAGTTGGGAATCCCCCTCTCCACACAAGCGGTGACTTTCTGGGGGTTCAACGCAAGGATACATTACCCAGGGGGATTGTGGCCTCTCCTCCAGCTCTCCTGTAGTTTGCAAAGTTTGGGGGTGCAATAGAAAGTCCCCCTTACAGTTGGGAATCCCCCTCTCCACACAAGCGGTGACTTTCTGGGGGTTCAACGCAAGGATACATTACCCAGGGGGATTGTGGCCTCTCCTCCAGCTCTCCTGTAGTTTGCAAAGTTTGGGGGTGCAATAGAAAGTCCCCCTTACAGTTGGGAATCCCCCTCTCCACACAAGCGGTGACTTTCTGGGGGTTCAACGCAAGGATACATTACCCAGGGGGATTGTGGCCTCTCCTCCAGCTCTCCTGTAGTTTGCAAAGTTTGGGGGTGCAATAGAAAGTCCCCCTTACAGTTGGGAATCCCCCTCTCCACACAAGCGGTGACTTTCTGGGGGTTCAACGCAAGGATACATTACCCAGGGGGATTGTGGCCTCTCCTCCAGCTCTCCTGTAGTTTGCAAAGTTTGGGGGTGCAATAGAAAGTCCCCCTTACAGTTGGGAATCCCCCTCTCCACACAAGCGGTGACTTTCTGGGGGTTCAACGCAAGGATACATTACCCAGGGGGATTGTGGCCTCTCCTCCAGCTCTCCTGTAGTTTGCAAAGTTTGGGGGTGCAATAGAAAGTCCCCCTTACAGTTGGGAATCCCCCTCTCCACACAAGCGGTGACTTTCTGGGGGTTCAACGCAAGGATACATTACCCAGGGGGATTGTGGCCTCTCCTCCAGCTCTCCTGTAGTTTGCAAAGTTTGGGGGTGCAATAGAAAGTCCCCCTTACAGTTGGGAATCCCCCTCTCCACACAAGCGGTGACTTTCTGGGGGTTCAACGCAAGGATACATTACCCAGGGGGATTGTGGCCTCTCCTCCAGCTCTCCTGTAGTTTGCAAAGTTTGGGGGTGCAATAGAAAGTCCCCCTTACAGTTGGGAATCCCCCTCTCCACACAAGCGGTGACTTTCTGGGGGTTCAACGCAAGGATACATTACCCAGGGGGATTGTGGCCTCTCCTCCAGCTCTCCTGTAGTTTGCAAAGTTTGGGGGTGCAATAGAAAGTCCCCCTTACAGTTGGGAATCCCCCTCTCCACACAAGCGGTGACTTTCTGGGGGTTCAACGCAAGGATACATTACCCAGGGGGATTGTGGCCTCTCCTCCAGCTCTCCTGTAGTTTGCAAAGTTTGGGGGTGCAATAGAAAGTCCCCCTTACAGTTGGGAATCCCCCTCTCCACACAAGCGGTGACTTTCTGGGGGTTCAACGCAAGGATACATTACCCAGGGGGATTGTGGCCTCTCCTCCAGCTCTCCTGTAGTTTGCAAAGTTTGGGGGTGCAATAGAAAGTCCCCCTTACAGTTGGGAATCCCCCTCTCCACACAAGCGGTGACTTTCTGGGGGTTCAACGCAAGGATACATTACCCAGGGGGATTGTGGCCTCTCCTCCAGCTCTCCTGTAGTTTGCAAAGTTTGGGGGTGCAATAGAAAGTCCCCCTTACAGTTGGGAATCCCCCTCTCCACACAAGCGGTGACTTTCTGGGGGTTCAACGCAAGGATACATTACCCAGGGGGATTGTGGCCTCTCCTCCAGCTCTCCTGTAGTTTGCAAAGTTTGGGGGTGCAATAGAAAGTCCCCCTTACAGTTGGGAACCCCCCTCTCCACACAAGAGGTGACTTTCCAGGGGTTCAACACAGGGATAAATTGCCGTGGGGCGATGCAAAAGCGACAAGGAGTCCTATAGCACCTCATAGATGATAAAGTGCTACACGACTCCTTGTCGCATTTGCAGATCCAGACTAACACAGTTACCCCTCTGATATATGGGGGGATGGGAACCCCCCCGCCCCCACTATTCTTTATTGTGCAAAGTTTGTTGGTCTGTTTTGGCATGCACCGTCTGGCAGCTGACCACGCACCGGGTGAAAGGGTAAAATCCTTGGTTTTGGTTTTCGTCCCCGGGAGAGAAAAAAAAAAGGCGTGACGGTTAGGATTGGAAAACCGTAAAGCGCCCCGACTAGTCCTGTAGCATCGTGGAGATGAACCTCACATGCTGACGGGGTCGTGAGCTTCCGTTGGCCCAGCCCGCTTCTACAGACGAGCGGGGTTTAAAAGAACGGCGACTGGCGTTCACGGACGTATTGGCTAAAGTGAAAATGGCGGCACTGAGTCGACTATCGTTGTATAGGGCGAAGGACGTGGTCGCGGCAGCAAATCACAAAATAATTCAAAGTTGTTGCAGAAAGAGTCATGGAGCATCAGAGCAGAGATGGGTCAGACCAACGGCCTATCCAGCCCTGTGTCCTGTCTGCCCACAGCGGCCAACGCCAAGTGCCCCAGAGGGAGTAAACAGAACAAGTAATCCTCTCATGATCCCTCCGCTGTCGCCGATTTCCAGACAAACAGAGGCGAGGGACACCGTTCCTACCTGTCCTGGCTAGTAGCCATTGATGGAGCTAACCTCCATGAATCTGTCTAGCTCTTTTTTGAGCCCTCTCAAAGTCATGGCCTTCACAACATCCTCTGGCGAGGAGTTCCACAGGTTGTGTGCTGAGAGAAGAAAAACTTCCTTTGATGTAAACCTGCTACCTAGTCATTTCCTTTGGTGACCCCTACTTCTTATATTGTGGGAATAAGTCAATCACTTTTCCTTATTCATTTTTTCCACACCAGTCCTGATTTTATAGACCTCGATCCTACCCCTGAATCTCCTCTTTTCTCAGCTGAACAGTCCCCGTCTTTTTAATCTCTCTTTGTATCCCTCCGCAGTTCTGTGGCCCTTCTCTGAACCTTTTCCAAGACCAAGAGATCTTTTTTCAGGCGACCACATCTGTCCGCAGGATTCAAGCTGCCGGCGTGCCATGGGAGCGTTCTGAGTTTCGGATTTCAACATACAAGGGCTGGGACTTTGTCAATACAGTGAATAACGTTTGACCTTGAAATGAGACAGATGTCAAACTGTTCTGTGGTTTCCCAAATCTAGGACATCGATTTAATTTCTCAAACTTTCCTATCGGCGTCATCGATGCAAAATGGCTTGGCCCGGCCAGTGACGGGCTACACTTGTTAGTTAATTATATTTTTCTCCGTTACCACCCTCTTAACCTTTGGTTGTAACTATGGATGCCCCGAAAGATCGGATCCAGACAAATTGGGAGTTTGTCCCAAACAATTTTGCATCCCTGTTAGAACTCAGGTATCCTGATGCCCTACACAGGTTGGGTCCGGGGTATCTGAAGGACCGTCTCCTCCCATATGCGCCTGCTGGGGGATTGAGGCGATGTACGTCTACACAGCCAGTTTTTGCGGCAGAAAACTATGCTA